TCATTACAGACTCCACCTTTTAAAGGTCCAGTTTATAGGATTTAGGGGGACATATTGGCAGAAATGTAATACAGTATATTATCTTTAGTGTAATATCACCTGAAAATAAGAATCATTAGGTTTTTGTTACCTTACAATGAGCTGTTTAACCAAACCAAACACTGGCTCTAGATATGGACATTTGCATTTGCGCATCAACCACTGTAGTTAGCATTAGAAAAACAAAAAACCTTTTTATGTGAAACTGCTTTATTCAGTGTTTTGAATGGTTTAAATCACCTGGGGCCTCATGTACAAAGACTTGCGCGGATTTCCTACTGAAAAATGGCGTACGCTTAAATCCAGAAAACATTGTACACACAAAAACATCCAGATGTATGAATCTGTGCGTACGCATGAATCCAAGCACATTTCCACATTTTCAGTGGCTTCATGTTTACGTACACATATCTTGAGACGATTCCGTGTTTATGGAAAACCTTTAAAAAACGAAATCGGTTCTGTCTTCGTGTGGGTATAGCCTAAAACAAAAGAATGAGTAAGACGGGGAAAAAGAAAAACGTCACAGAATGCGAATTGGAGACGCTACTCACTGAAGTGGAGGCGCGTAAAAATGTACTTTTTGGCACGCTGTCCTCTGGCATCAATACTAAACGCAAGAGGAGTGAGTGGGAGAGTGTGTGTGAGGCTGTCAATGCTGTGGAGTCAGAAAAGCGTACACACGCAGAATTAAAAATGAAGTGGTCCGACATCATGTGGACGTGAAGCGGAGGATGGCTGCCCACTGCCAAAGTGTGGCCAAAACCGGCAGGGGGACAGAAGAGGAGGAGCTCACCCCGTTTGAATAGAGAGTCACCACAATTGTGGGTGACACTGCTCTGTCAGGGGTGGTGGGAGCACATGTGGGTTACTCAGATTACCCCCAGGGTAAATACCTATAAATTACACAATAGCTACTACACAATAGCCTGCTCACAGCCCTATAAGATGTATGGTATTATTTGGTTTGAAATAAATCTTTTGAATTTGAATTTAAACATGCCAGTATATCAAAGATGTGTTAATTGTTCATGTGTCTCTGATGTGCACATCACTCTGAGGACTAATTGTTTTCACATTTATTTATTATAACAGTTTTCCAGCATCACATCTAAGTGTCGCCAAAGGATCAACAGCTGTAGAAACATGCGCATGCCAGCCATGAAGTTGGCATGAGGCACCGCACATTTCCACAGTCATTTCACTCTTGATACATCTGAACTTTGCCGTGGAAAAGGACGTACGCCACATTTTTGTGTATACGCACCCTTTGTACATGAGGTCCCTGGTCCATTTGTTCTGGAGAGGAGGAGACCTCTGTGGCTCCTGATGAAAACCTCTTGAACGTCTGGATCTTAATTTATCAGAGAAAAATGGTGAGCATATATTAGCAGGTGCTAGGCTAATGGCCTGTCTCCGACATGCCAAAAAGCATGGAAAAACATTGATTTGTAACATGAACCTGCTTTATTATGTGTTTTTATCCGTTTAAATCACGAAGTCCATTTGTTTTGTAGAGGAAGAGACATCTGTGGACAACCCCCAGAACATCTGGATCTCTAATTATCAGAGAAAAATGGTGAGCATAGATTAGTAGGTGCTAGGCTAACAGCCCGTCTCTTACATCACTGGGTCTGTTTGTTTTGAAGAGGAGCTCTGTGGATAATTAAGCTCCCACTAAAAACAGACAGTGAAGAGGCAGACAGGAAACGGGGAGACAGATGGGTATAACGTGTAACAAAGGTCCCTACCAGGAATCAAACTGGTGACATGTGGTTATACGGCATACAGTGTAAGCATTTACCTACCAAGGTCCTCCTGGTGCCCATTGTTAGACCACATATTAAAAATACAACATTAGTTTCGGTGTTTTTCTTTTTATTTAAGGGGAAAAGAAGAAAAATGCTACAAAACATCCCAACAGTGTTTTGACAAAATTCCAAGCAGTGCAACAGTTCTAAAACCAAGACATCATCGTCCTCATCATCATCATCATTTCCAGCAGCTGTGTCACTGCAAGCACTTCTCATTGGTATTATTACTGTGTTTAGAAAGAATGCATATCAAATCAGACTGAAGGCAGACTTTGTATTTACACATTTCAAACATTCTGTCCCTTCCCACAAAAACACTACCTCAGTGAAACTCACATTAGACTGACAAGTCATGAGTGCTGGACTTTAAATCGCCTGTGTTTGTGGATATTTTTGAAAAGGTGATACCTATTTTTCCTGTGACATATATATACATCTTTATTTTTGTAAAATTAGTAAGAAAATGTTAGCCATCTGTTTTCTTCAGGTTTTAGTCACTCCAGTGTTTGTGGGTTTGGCTTCTTTTCATAAGTAAAAAGTATCAACCTTCAGTTATTTCTGACTGGTTTTAGTAATGTAATGGTGAGTTTTGCTGGTTGGCCAATTTGAAGTCATGTTTACAAAATCACTCCAGTGACTTAGTAGTGAACTTCTATAAAGTTGGGGGACTCATGAGGAACAGCATTAAAAAATGATATGAACAACCACAGGTGAGATGGTTTAATCTTTAGTCTTTTGTATGAGTCAAGCTCTAAATACATTGGTTCCTACATTTCCCCTTAGGGGAGAAACATGGTCCATGCTAGTACACAAATGAAATAAAGGTGGGGACGTGTGCTTGAATCAGAAAGTGTGTCAAATTGCAATCTTTCGTACTTAACACTTGATATTTTCACACTGCATAGTATAGGAAAATACAGTGTACCACTGGCTCACTCAAAACAGTCCAAATGTTGAGTGTGGAATAATGGACGCTTCTCACCCTCAATGGTCGCCATCTTTGAGACGTAGCGGAAGCTGTTTGTTATACATGTTTTATGCACTATGTACCGATACATCAAATACCGATTATCAAATAGAAGCTATTATCAGAAGACAGACAGAATAGAAGATATTATCCTGTTTATGGTACTCCAAAAGAAACCAAGATACTGCTGCATGTTTGCACCTTATCCTGGTTATTAGGGGCCACCAATTACCTGCCGAGGTGTGGCTTCAACCAAGTGACGTCACAGAAATCTAAAAAAAATAATGGCGGGAGCATCTAACTTCTGGAGTGATGAAGAAACAGAGTTTTGTCTCTCAGTAATAAAAGAGGCTATGTATGTGTATCAACTGCTCCCCTGTCCTACATCGCAGTAGTGACTGTTGTGAAAGTAGTGGAGCTGTTGAGTGTGGTGGTGAGAGAGACAGCAGATAGCTGTTAGCGATCGGAGCAGAGAAAATATTAGCAATTAAGTTGCCTAGTGGTAGTAAATTTACAGTGTAGTGTTTTATACTTCCAAGTGGGTCCAATCCATCCCTGACACCTTGTTAGCTAGCTGACGTCTTGGTACAATCAGACTACAGTTGTACCAGTGAAATTGAGGTTTTTGAATGAGTCTGGATTTTTCCTGACTATATAATAGTACAATACTCACATGTTAAATATATACTGAAAGAGTCCATGGTCTGTGTAATTGTTTCTCCTTTCCATACTACACATTCTACAACAAATCAGCTCCACTACAGTGGGTCATATTAGAAATAGAGTGCTGCAGGGATGATGTTTCTATGTAAACGGATGCGGAAATTAACATTGCTCTGGTTCCCTCGATAAAAAATCAACATTTTTCCATTGGATTTTGGATCATTGCAGAAAATAAACTCTGTGGCATACAAACGTTTATGATACTTACACGTTGTGTTCAGCAAGATAATCCTTGCATGTTTTTTTTTTTTTAATTTTTTGCCTTTAATGGACAGGACAGTTAAGTGTGAAAGGGGAGAGAGAGAGGGGGGATGACATGCAGCAAAGGGCCACAGGCTGGACTCGAACCCGGGCCGCTGCGGCAACAGCCTTGTACATGGGGCGCCTGCTCTACTACTAAGCCACCGACGACCCCACTTTATGGTTTTTGAAGCCTAAATGCAATTGCCAGTGGTAAAAAGCTAATGTTAGGCCACAAACAAACTATACCATGGTCACATGACTCTGCAACAAGGCTGTAAAGCTTAGCCACTTGTTAGAAACTGTTTTACTGTAAGACACATGAAGGCTTCACAATTTACGAGTGAGGTATTTACTGACGTATTTTATGTCGTAGAACAAAACATGGAAGTCTTTTAAGCATGTGTTAACCAAAGACCTTATTTCAGGCATTTTACCAAAAACACATCCAAAAAACTCATTGACTTTGGGTGCACTTGTAAATCCAATCTGATGCTTGTTGGGATTCACATGACCACAGATGATTTGTCATTTGTTCTTCAAACAAAAACAGCTATTTGACAACCATCTCCAGGATGTCCCACCTCACACCTCAGTGAGACACAATTCTCAAAACTTGATTGGACAGGACTTTTACAGTGACATGTGACTCTGTGATGTCACAGGCATCTGTAGAAGGTCTGCTCCCTCAGACTCTTTATTTTGTTCTAGAGCTACCGAGCCTCTCTTTTTCCTGGACCACAACTTGCCCATGCTCAAGACAGAGGCAAACCTGAACCAGAGAAGTTAGATTTGCAAGAACAAGGTTTGCAACTAACTTTATAGCAACAAGGAGAACCAACTTGAGTTAGCACACAGCATCTAACTCTGCAAAGACCCTGAGCGACCAGCTTCCTCGGAGTTTCACCTTTGGAACAAAGGACACAACAAAGATTGGATATGGAACTGCAGCTCTTTCCCGCCTTCCTCTGCCAGCTAACAAAGCAGCACACCATAAAGCGACTCTTTCTTCCATCCATTCAAGGATTGGTAACGTAACAACTGGGCATAGCTTTGTCACAGCTTTACAGGCTAAGCAAGACTGTTTAACTTGTTGTATGTGATTTAATGCTGTCAATGAGTTATTGTTGTGATTGTTTGCAGTTAGGTCATTGGTTAGTTGGCTTCGCCAAAGCTAAGTGTTTAGTTTGCTAATGCTGTTCATAAACAGATTCTTGCACCCAACTAAACAATCTCTGCACTAATCCAGACCGTTTGCAACACAAATCACATTCACATATACTCACTAGCAAATAGGCTTTCAGCAGAACAGTTCCTGCCTCTTTTCCTTTGTATTTGTCCTGACCACACGGTCAGACAAGACCTCCCCTGGTCTGAAGCCAGCTTTGATTCGGCCATCTTGTAGTTCTCTGTTATCAGTCATTTTTTTTGTTATGGTTATTATTTAATATCAAAATTAATAATAGTTTAGGGTATTTTATGAGACTGATATCTTTAACTGGCTATTATTTTCCCTTTCCGGGAATGGTGCCCCATGAGGTGATTTAATATTAATTAAGTCACATTATTTAACATAATTACCAATTATTATTAATAATTATTTCTGATAGCCAATTTACAACATTAATGATGTCCCCTTGGCCATTACTGTCATTCCCAACATAATTGGTGCCTCCATGTGACGCCCTAATTTATGTTCCCTTCATAATTGGTGCCTCCGTGTAACGTCTAATTTATGTTCCCAACACGCTCTATGCTAAAATGAGTGCGCTGATAACCGAGTGATGCATTCCAACAGAGCTCTGAATTTACAAGGGTCCAGTTTGTGCCAGAGTGAACAGCATCTCCAACACACCCTTTGAGAAGAGGGAAAAATGCCAAAATGCAAACCAATTTCTGGGACTCATTACTGCACTACTCTATTGAGATATTTGTGATTTTAGCAAAGTTAAAGGATATCTTACACTAACACTCACCAAGGCTCTCTTCTCTCTGTTAACTCTTTCATTGTACATTTGGCTTGTGAATATTGTCTTGAGATAATCCTGACAAAATCTGAACCAATCCTATAACTCTTGTGAACCAGACAGTTTTCATGCACCTCCATGTTTGCATCAAATGTGGTTAAAAAAGTCTTTGTGACCCATGTACAAAGCCTCCACAGTGTTCTTTCGTCCAACAGACTGCTGTTATCTCTGTGTTGAGCTGCTGTAATCTGTATGGCTGCCTTAAGACATCATCAGAAATGAGCAGTAACAGTTTCACAAAATATAAGAAGCAACAACACAAAAACAGGGATTAAAAGGAGATAATTTACAATTGCTGGGGAAACTGAGGCTCAGAAAGAAGCAGATAAACATGGAGTACACAAATAGTAACAAAAGTAGAATCTAAGAATCCTGCTACAGAGGTACGAAGGTAACAAACATTTATAAAAGACTGCTATTATAACATGAATATAAAAAAAACATAAACAGAAGAAATAGCTGTGTTTGCTGAGGGCTGAAATATAAAAATAGCTTTCATTTATGTGAAAGATTTCCATTTTTATATTTTGAGCAAGATATGCAATTATATGAGAGGAATACTGACACAGGAAACATGAGTTTAGAGAACAATCTTTTCAATGTTCACATGCTAAAAGTACAAGCTATCTGTTTTTGGAACTTTCTGATGACTTTGAATTTCGAAGAGGAAGGGTTGGATTGTTTAAGACACACAGTCATTGTAACTGTTCCATAAGAATTCATCAATATGTAAAGGTGTGTTCAGGCTGAACCTGAGGCTGATTTTAGAGGTGGCACATCTGCTTTTGAAGTCAGTGCAAAAATGTGAGATCATACAGAAAGATCTGGGGTTTTTTTAACTAGAATTCGTGGATGTACAGAGACAAGACACATAGGGAGGAGTCTGGTGGAAAATTACAGACAGAATTGAATCCTGATGAATTCTGACATCAGACAGAAGCTAGTGTCACGTAACCAGAACTTTCTCCATAGTGCTTGAGAAAGGTCTGGAATCACCATATTACCATTCTGCCCTGGAGCATTACCGACCTGGTTTGTTTTTGTTTCTCTAAACCAATCACAATCATCCTGGGCAGCTGCATTTGGTATAGGTATGAGTTTGTTGGCACCGTTTATCAGCTCAGTGTTGAGTGTTAGCGATCATGCTAATCGGGCAGACTATGTAATGGCAGAGTTGCTCCGCTGACAGTGGCAACAGAAAGTTTGCTGGTCCAGTGGGGAGTTGGGACGGTCCAAGATCAGACTCCTGGTACAAAAAAGGATTATATTCAGGTATCAGTTTGACTGGAGACGTTTTGAAAGATGTAGCAAATCAACTTCAACTGGTCGTGTCAGTAAAAAGATCAACATTGGGCATGATAGTCCAGCGAGAAACAGTCTGGACTTTTCTGAGGTACGTTCACAGGCTGTTTTATTTGTTGTAGTTATTTTTTAACAATTCAGGCAAAGCAGGCATGCCTTATTATCCAAGTCTTCATCTTAACTTGCCATTTTCATCGTGTAGGTTGTTAGCTCGGAGGGTGTTATTATTTTCTGTAGGTAAGGGGATTTGGAACACGCAGAAAGCAGAAAGCAGAAAGGAGGGAGAATGCCGGCCTAAATAACTGGCCAGTGGCAGGCTCATAGCCACAGTCTACATACAGTGGGTCTGACTACACACAAGCACGGGCATGCTGCCATGCATAATTTGCATAAGTACAGCTAATATCAACAAAATACAGGATTACTCATTAATGCAAAGAAAAATCGGCTTCACATTCAGTCCAAACACACCTTTAATTCTACTCTGACTCTACTTTGATGCAGACAGAATTTTGAGATAATGTTGAGTTTCAGATGAAGTAATGACATTAACATCAAAGTTGTAATTACGACTTGGAAACTCTTATTCTTTATGTTCTGATATATCTGGCATGGCACATAAAATATGCAAATGCCAGAAAACCAAACAAAAATGGACTCTGAAGGTAATTAAACCCAGTTTTAAATAATTTAAATCTACACAATTCAAAGCATTTTTAACCCTAACACAACCAACTCATCAGCTTATGTAAATAAACCTTTAACATTCACTACATGATTTATTTTTCTTCACATGGCCTTGCTCCTCTGTAGAACTGCTCCTTTATACTGGACCTGTTTTTATGATGGGTACATGTTGGCTCTGGTGTTGTATAGAGAACATTCCCAGTCAATTCATATGATTTTGCCCATAAAAAGATTGTTGGAGGAAAGAAATGGCATATGCTACCCATTGAAATTAAGTATTCAGTCAACAAATATTTGAATTTTTTGCCACACAAACAAAACTATTTTTTATCAAATAACTTGGAACCCCAGACACCTTTTACAATTTGCAAGATCTCTGTCAACTTTTTTATAACAAAACACTCATTCTGCGAGTTAGGTTATACGAATAAAATTCAGACGATTATTGTAAAACTGAATGAATTAAAGTGCAAATGATGAATGCCTTCTTCTGTGGGAACACTACCAAAGTTCTGCCTTTAATTTTCTCCACAACCAGTCTTGGTTTTAGTATGGCTCTCTATGCTCTGCATGTCTGGAGAGGAACTGCCATCTATTGGTCACATTACCGTCTGTGTTAGACCAGTCCCATCCTCTCAGGTCCTGTGCAGGTCTCCTCTGAGTGAATGTGTGTTAACAGCAATTCAAGTTTGAAGATCAACATCATTGTCCCCTAAGGTTGCAGACACACATCTGATGTTCATGTCTGATAATAGTCTGATGGTTTGAAACATTTTCCAAAAATATATCTTTTTATACTCTTCTATCTTGGCCGATAGATCATAAAAATATTATGGAGTGAGGGTTGAAGAAGCAGATTGCAGTGAGATGGATGTCTGACCTCCATCCAGCACTTCCATCCTTTAATTTTTTTTTATTTTTTATTTTTTTACAACTAATATCTATATCTAGATCATTCTGGTAGAAAATAATGTTGATAAGTGCAAATATTAACATAAATAAAAAATAGGAACTTTCTGACTTTGCTGTTAAAGGTGGTAGTGAAGTGGGTGCTCTTATCGTAACTTTGGGACTGTTGGCATTCTTAGCTGTTACGGACATGATTGATTCATGGTGCACTTTGATGCAAAAGCACATGAAGCAGTGTGTGAAGCGTCCTCTTTATGTCACTCCTGTTGTCTTCAGAGCAGCTGGGATGGACAGTAATGAAGAAGTTACAGCTGATTTGTATCAGATGTCTGCCTGTGAGGTTTTCTTTTGGTGTTGCCATATCAGAATTCAAATACCAATTAATTATCTAAACATTTGGAACTAGTTCAACATCACTGTAAACAGGACAGACCACCCACAGGTCTGGATGTCAACTGGCCGTCTGTCTCTGACAGCTCTGTTAACTTCATCATGTCCATATTTGGGCTCTCTCTGTCAATGAGGCCCCGACGTATTTGCAGCTCCTGACGCCAACTATTGCAGTCCACTGACACTGAGGCTGAAGTGCCCTAAATGTTGAATTCAATCTTTCACAACAGTTATAGATTAGTATAAAAAACTAGATTCTTCAAGATCAGAGGAAGGCAATCTGCAGCTCTGGAGCCACACACCTCCTTTAGCCTCTCCAGTGGCTTTGACAAGAAATTACTGGTTTATGGAAATGAATAGCAGTTATTTTTTAATCTTCATTTATTGTTGTTGCAGGCCTCAAGTGATTCTTACATTGTCCAACTGTAAAAGTGTGTAGCCTATACACAGAATAAAAAACTTAGGGATGCACCGATGTTTAAAATCACAATTTGGGTGATTACCAATACCAATGTTGTTGTTGCTGCTGGTGTTGTTTTATGAAACAACATATAAAATAACCTTTGACATGGAAAAACATTTTTTAAAAACTTCTTCAAAAGCATTGTTACTATTATAATATACTACTATAATATATCATAATTCCCTCTCTTATATCTATTTTATATCACTGTGAAAATATCAACACATTTCTCCCTTAAACAGCTGTATTTATCCAAGTTTCTCAACAAAAACTACATTTTACATGATTACATTTAACACATCATAAGAATGTTATGATTTCCCTTCACCAAATACTCATTTTTAGTGAACAGAGCTTAAACGCATCATGATGTAACTCAGTGCAACCTCTGTGAGCTGTTAGTTGAGGCCACCAGCTGCTAACAGCTAACATTAACTAGCTCTCCGCCTGCTGATTCTAGCACAGACTTGTTATTCACAACATTATCGAGGAAACAACAGGATGTTTCTCCTGATGTGACTATAGTGAGTCTGCTGCGTACTTTTGTCCCGACAGCATCCTGGGGAAGATCTATGTTAGTCCAAAACACATTTTCTTTTGTCCCCAGGATGAGGGGATGCCATTAGTTTGGGGCCCTACTTTTTAGCCTGTGCAAAATTTATGTAAAATTACAGGAAAACATCAGCCACTGCTATCAGTGAATCCCATCTTATTTGCCAATAGCCCGATGGAGGTTAACAAGGGGAATATAGGCCGATACTGGTGTGCAGCCACTAAATCGGTGCATCCCTAAAAAACATTTTGTCAACTTCAGTTTGCTAAACCTCATTAGCAGTGGCTAGTCTTGATTCTCCCTAGCTAGGCTAGCTATGGATTCCAAATACAAAAAAAAAGAGGCCTTGGAGAATTTAATAGTGTGTGGACAGATTTGCTTGCTTTCACCGTCAACACTAGCAGGTTCAAGTACCAAATGAAAAAATAGCACACTTTAGGCTAATTTAGTTACCAGGGGTGACAGAAATGGCTCTTTTGATAGTAAAGGTTGCTGACCCCTGACCAAGGTGAAGCTTCTAAAACAGTATGTGTGTTTGGGTTATAGACAGTACTACTGAGAGGCAAGCTAAAAGGCTAGAAAACAGATGTGGGTACCATTATGTCCATACCACACTGGGTGTCTGCATACTAAATGTTTATGGAAATATTGTGCTGATGCATTTTGTAATTGACTTGGCCTTCAGATGGTTATTTTCCATGCAGTGGCAAACATAATGTGAAAGTGAGACCAGTGGCTGAGAGAGACAGATGCCTTTAGTTTCACAGTGGTGTACTGTGGCAGTAGTGGATCAGAAAAGGTGAAGCTCAGTGAGAATAGTGAGCTAGGTGGGGTGTCCTCACCACTGAGATCCATCAGCCTCCAGACTAACTCATCTTTACCTCCACCTGCTGACAGAAATCTGAGGAGTCATTTCAGTCCATCATTTAAAATATGTGTATTTTGTTTCTTTAGTGGTTTATTGGAAAAAAAATTCCACTGTGTGCATACAAAATTTAAATATAAAATCTTCAGCCTGTATAATGGATTTCTATTCATATCATGAGCATCCTGTTCAGTAACTTGAGGGGCAACTTTGGCATTTTCCAGCCTGGCCACTATGTTCCCGTGTTTTGACTCAAAGTGCCTGATGTGGAAAAAAAAAAAAAAACAAGTTATAATGGACATACAGTGCTGGTTGCCCCATCTGTTTACATAACAGCTGTTGTGCAGCTGCTGGCTGCACCCCTCTCTCTCAATACTGGACCAATTTCAAAAATTGTTGATGACAGCAGTCACTAAGACACAAAAACATGAGAAAAAAGGATCCAGGTTGAAAAATGCAGAAGTTACTCTTTAACAGGAAGTTTGTTTTAGATAAACATAGCTATTTTTACTATGATACTTTTTATCATAACTGTTATGATCTCTCTGCCAGTATCATATTTATACATAATGGCTTTATCCAGGTATCCTCAAATGTATCATACAGTAACATACATTTTACTTTAGCTACCCAACACTATTTATCATATTTTTTCTAAATATATAACAAGGACAACTGTCAGTCTGTGCCACAGACTGTATGAAAAAGATGAAGACGGTATGTATGAAAATATAACCTGGTGGCTGGCTGCAGTATAGGTCATAAACCCCGCCCCCTCCATGTCAAGAGGATGGGACATGGGCCAAACAAAAACATTAAAGAACATGTAAAATACATTCTTACAAAAGATGATTTCTGTCTTTTTAAGCACTTCTTATCATGCTGATGGTCAAGTGTTTGTTTTTCTGATAAAGTTTGGCTTTAATTATTTATTTGATGCTATGAAAAGGGGGTTTGACATTGTGATTGACAGCTATGTGTGCCGATCAGTGCGCTCACGATCAATGGCGATGCTCATGATTGGTCAAACAGGAGTTAGGGTGTAAATTATACACCGCTGAGATTGCTACTGTGCAGACTCTGCCTCCAAATGACGTCACCAGCGCAAGATGGCATCGGCCATAACCAGGATATTTTGGCTTCAGTTTTTGGCTTCGTCCATCTATATATACAGTCTATGGTCTGTGTGTGCTGTCCACAGTGCCTCTAAACAATGTAGAATGTGTAGCTAGTGCAATGTCAAGCTTGCACAGTGCAGGCAGAATATTCATACCACACTCAACCAGGTCACCACAGTGAAACTAGAGGGCCAGATAATGTTACATGGAAATCAATGCAATTTTCACCTCTCCATGCATGATGGCGTGGTGCCATCTAAAGGGGGATCCTCACCTTGAACCTATTGACCATGACCATAAGAAGATGTCTTGGATATACCCATGCTGTGTGTTACCATGCAGCCACACCACAAGCAGCTCAGTCGTTCTTAAACCGCTAAGCAACATAACAAACCCTTCTGTGGTGTATACAGTCAGCGAGCCTGCCTTTCTAACTCATGTGACTTTTGTTTTGTCTGGTAAGTGCAAAATATGACACACCAACTCTACAGCTGTTGCATCCAATTGTGGAGATGAACAGAGGAGCTTTCGATTTAATTCACTTACATTTCATTTGCAAAATATTTCCTAATTAGCTCTTGCGTGCCAGTTACTGTATGTTAACTTATCAAACCAACTACATCACTGCAGAAGAATCTGTAGAATAAGTTACTCACAGTGAGCACCAGCAATCAGGACTTAATATCAAGTGACTAGTGGTCTGTGATGAGGGTTTTAGAGGTGGCAGGCTTCAGGATGTTTCACATTTTTCCATGGAGGTAGCCCTTCATGCTGCGGTGGTCCAGATGGCAGCTGTCAGATGAACTAAAGCAGTGAGTGGATGGACTGTTTGCAAACTGTAGGTTGGTATTTTAAACGTTGATACAGTCACTGGGTCTATTCCAAGCCCACAGGATGTTTTGTCTTCAAGTCATCAAATCAAAGTGAAGACATATCCTACTTCCGTGCTGCAGCGAGGCAAACAGGCTGTACTGCACACCAGGAAGAAAGTCCTCAACGTGAGAGGGAAGTGAAGCCAGCTGGACATCTCTGTGATGTGGATCTCTGTAGAGACTGTGACCCTGGCTGGGTCAGGTGTGTCTGTTGGCTGGATGATGTTGGCCTTCTGAGCCGTGGAGGAACCGCAATAGTGCAGAGGGAAGAGGGTAACAGCAGTCAGAGGAGTGAGAGGGATGGTGTGGTGTGATTAGTGTCAGTTTTCAGCCAGTGACAGTGCCAGAGCTGCCTGCAGTGCAGCTTCTTCATCAATGCTGTAGTCCTGACAAAATGCAAAAAACAACAGATACTAGTCACTGCAAAGCACAGAATGCAACCCTAATCTACAGGGTTCCCACACATCTATACCAATGAATTTTCAAAATGTTTCCATAACCTTTCGAACATATTTAACCCTAACCCTTTCTAATAACTCTAAGTAGTTTTGAGAATATGTTAGTACAGTATGTGTCGTGATGAGGTATTCTTCAGCTGTGGATCAGTGAGAAAGCTCCTGATGTGTTGATGTGATCATAGTCCATAGTGAAAATAATCCAAAAGTCCTCACAATGCTACGTGACAGGAAAACGCTGTTGGAAAATGGATTTTGAATTTGTTTTCCCGTCCAGAAAAGCATCACTGATCCTTGATCATTATTGAACCACAATGGTGCAAATAGGCTCTAAATATTGAGTCCGTTTTTCTTTAGGCCCTCTGCGGTCTGCTAACTGGTTAGCTTGAAGAGGTTTAAACTGTGATTTGTTCAGGCCATTTATGTTCAGTTGATATTCCTATTCCCTGATCCAATTCCAACAGTGCTAACTCTAGACTAACCCTCTATTTCTATTGTGAAGTTTGGGGAAGTGCTTTCCAAAAGCAACATGTTGTCTGTTAATTAAAAACTTCAGCTAAGCTTCCAGTTTCTTTTACAAATGCCTGGTGATTTCCTCTGTTCTTATCCATCTGTTGTTCAGAGGGATCTTTGTCAGTCCTATATGTAGCTATATGTATATGTATATATATATATATATATATATATATACATACATACATATATATATGTATGTATGTATGTATGTATACACACACACACACACACACATATATATATTGTCTGGTCTGTAGTCTGTATTGTAATTGTATGATTTGAATGAATGTTCTTATTATGAATGATGATAAACAGAGAGCTATCACAGAAATCAGGGAGAGGCTGTTTAACTGCAAACAATGAGTGACTTCAGTTTTGTTAATTGACAAAAGTACATTTGTTGTATTATGATTATTGTGATAAAAATTAGGGCCGATTCCCCTTAAAAGTCGAAGATTTGAATTGTCTGTTGGAGACCCCTCAGTAAACTGAGATTGCTTCAAATCAAGCAGTCATGTTTTTTACTCATTCATTTTTTTTTTGCTACTCAATGTGCTGTACAGTGTACTTGTGGCGATGTTCTCGTCCCTAGATTTTGTTGCGGAGTGAGTGCTCTTGACTTTCACGCTACTCTTTGTTACAGTCAGCTGCGGACGTGATGCAGCTGCACAGAGGAGGAAAAACTTTCCACCTTAAGGATCCGAAATAACATTATCTTTTCTTTTCTGTTCGGAAGTACTGAATTTACAGCTCACCAATGCTTCATACGACACAGTCTCTAGTTTTTATGTTTGATATCTATAAAATGTTGTTGCATACAGTACAGGCCAAAAGTTTGGACACACCTTCTCATTCAATGCGTTTTCTTTATTTTCATGACTATTTACATTGTAGATTCTCACTGAAGGCATCAAAACTATGAATGAACACATGTGGAGTTATGTACTTAACAAAAAAAGGTGAAATAACTGAAAACATGTTTTATATTCTAGTTTCTTCAAAATAGCCACCCTTTGCTCTGATTACTGCTTTGCACACTCTTGGCATTCTCTCCATGAGCATCAAGAGGTAGTCACCTGAAATGGTTTTCCAACAGTCTTGAAGGAGTTCCCAGAGGTGTTTAGCACTTGTTGGCCCCTTTGCCTTCACTCTGCGGTCCAGCTCACCCCAAACCATCTGGATTGGGTTCAGGTCCGGTGACTGTGGAGGCCAGGTCATCTGCCGCAGCACTCCATCACTCTCCTTCTTGGTCAAATAGCCCTTACACAGCCTGGAGGTGTGTTTGGGGTCATTGTCCTGTTGAAAAATAAATGATGGTCCAACTAAACGCAAACCGGATGGGATGGCATGTCGCTGCAGGATGCTGTGGTAGCCATGCTGGTTCAGTGTGCCTTCAATTTTGAATAAATCCCCAACAGTGTCACCAGCAAAACACCCCCACACCATCACACCTCCTCCTCCATGCTTCACAGTGGGAACCAGGCATGTGGAATCCATCCGTTCACCTTTTCTGCGTCTCACAAAGACACGGCGGTTGGAACCAAAGATCTCAAATTTGGACTCATCAGACCAAAGCACAGATTTCCACTGGTCTAATGTCCATTCCTTGTGTTTCTTGGCCCAAACAAATCTCTTCTGCTTGTTGCCTCTCCTTAGCAGTGGTTTCCTAGCAGCTATTTGACCATGAAGGCCTGATTGGCGCAGTCTCCTCTTAACAGTTGTTCTAGAGATGGGTCTGCTGCTAGAACTCTGTGTGGCATTCATCTGGTCTCTGATCTGAGCTGCTGTTAACTTGCCATTTCTGAGGCTGGTGACTCGGATGAACTTATCCTCAGAAGCAGAGGTGACTCTTGGTCTTCCTTTCCTGGGTCGGTCCTCATGTGTGCCAGTTTCGTTGTAGCGCTTGATGGTTTTTGCGACTCCACTTGGGGACACATTTAAAGTTTTTGCAATTTTCCGGACTGACTGACCTTCATTTCTTAAAGTAATGATGGCCACTGGTTTTTCTTTAGTTAGCTGATTGGTTCTTGCCATAATATGAATTTTAACAGTTGTCCAATAGGGCTGTCGGCTGTGTATTAACCTGACTTCTGCACAACACAACTGATGGTCCCAACCCCATTGATAAAGCAAGAAATTCCACTAATTAACCCTGATAAGGCACACCTGTGAAGTGGAAACCATTTCAGGTGACTACCTCTTGAAGCTCATAGAGAGAATGCCAAGAGTGTGCAAAGCAGTAATCAGAGCAAAGGGTGGCTATTTTGAAGAAACTAGAATATAAAACATGTTTTCAGTTATTTCACCTTTTTTGTTAAGTACATAACTCCACATGTGTTCATTCATAGTTTTGATGCCTTCAGTGAGAATCTACAATGTAAATAGTCATGAAAATAAAGAAAACGCATTGAATGAGAAGGTGTGTCCAAACTTTTGGCCTGTACTGTATTTCTGACCCGTCCTTAATGCAGTTAGCTTGTTTACGTTATTACATGAATATCACTGTCACACTGAACGAACATGGAAAAGAAATTGTCCAATATTCGTATTTAACGTCAGATCTGATTCAACTGACATAATTGTTTCATGGTGAAATACCTTGCCCTTGCAGGATGATCTGATTGAACACATTAATTTAGTAGTACTCAACCAGTAAGCAAAAAAGTGAAATGAATAAAGATCTATAAAACTAGATTCTGACAAAGGGGGCCCTCTTTGAAGCTGGGCCTCAAGATCAGGTGGTAAAGCAGAACCTGGTATTCAGTACTGAAAGCAGCCCAAATAAAAGTCTGTACCTCCATAGTACTGTGGTAAACGCAGGAATCTTTGAGACGGATACCTCCAAACCCGAACAAATAAAACCAAAAGTATGTACATATATGGAGAGAAGCTAGACAATATGTTTTCTTACAGTATTGTTAAAATTATTATTTGATTTCCTCGCAGCAGAAGTTGTGAGATATAGAGAATATGTGAAAAAACAAAATCATGACAGCACTAGACTTACAACAAAGGTGTCATAAGAGAACTTGTGTCTGTGGAGGAGGTGCTGGAGGAAGTTAGAGCTCTTATAGCTAGGGTCTCCCCACGGCATGGCTGAACACACCGGACACACCTGCAGACACAAACACACAGCAATAAGTAAACTGGACTGAACAGCAATTCAGTATCTGACCGACTATCTACCCTTCTGTTCCTGAGATATGATGTTGAATAATGGCCAGAAAAATGTTTTATGCGGAACATTATGATGTCACAGTGAAGCTGACCTTTGACCTTTTGGATATAAAATGTCATCACTTCATTATTTGATATTATTAGACATTTGTATGAAGTTTTGTCATAATTCACATATGAATTCTTAAGTTAAGGCGGGGGGAGTGAAACACCAAGGCCAACTTTGTGCCAGTGGCTTAAAAACATGATGTGACAATTTATACTCACTGGTCGCGATATAGTCATTTTATACATCCCACATGGAACACCCTTATGTGTGTGCCTGCTCCTCTCTCTCTCTCTCTCTCTCTCTCTCTCTGTTTTGACTCAACTAACAAATACTGTATATGGAAGCACTGGAGGTGTGGTTTGACAGATTCGCTCATGACTAGCAGAAAAAACAACTGCAAAATTATTTTGCAAGAGAGCAGCATGACATGCAACAAAGATCCCTGGCCAGACTCAAACTGGTGGTCAGCACCTTAAACCCCTGCGCCATCAGGGTAGCCCATCTTCACCTATTCTTAGATATGTAGTACATATACAGCTACCTACTGCTGTTTAAACCTCAGTAACACTAGATGACAATGTTTAAGTTCTTTAGAACCTTCGTGGGTTTCCTACAATGTTCCTGGTGTTTCTCAGACAGACTGGAAGCACTTTTTTTTTTTTTTAAGATCACCTGAGTCAGTCTAGATCACTGGTTCCCAACCTGGAGGTCCGACCTCCACTAGGGGTCACTGAAGCCTCAGGAGGGGTTGCGAGGTATATGGGGATGTAAGAAAACTTTTTAAAAAACATTTACAGCAGGACTATATCTCTGCATTACATTCATTTCTGTGAAGAAAACTAAATTAAATTTCTATTTCTAAAATTATTATTAGATTATTATTAAGGTATAAACTTGAAGGAAATGTCACAGGATATGGGCACAGTGAAGACCTGAACACAAGCTGTATTCACAGAGCCTTCATTCTCTGCTAAACAGCCTTTTTATGCATTAGAAAAGTACACAGTTAAATAAACCAAAGAGCTAACAGAACAATGCAGTGCCAGGGAGAAGAAAACACTTAATTTGTTAAAAAAGAAGACAATTAAGTTTGTATGATTGTTAAAAACTAAAAAATACACAATACAGAGAGAGGGTCTGTGTAAAAAATTCCTAAAATATAAGTAAAACTTATCTCTGATGCAGTATTCCAAGGGAATAACCTGTGACAACAAGCGATTTGAATGAATTTTGAGAAAACTTTCTTCAGGTTAATTGTACAGTTTCAATTATTCTGAACTGTTATTGTTATGCATTGAATATAAAATGAAATATCCATAGAGTATGTCATTTAGTTAGGGGTCGTCAATTCACTCAGTGAAAGAAAAGGGGTCAAGTTTGGGAACCACTGATCTGGTGTATTAAAGAGTCATCTCTTACCACTTTATTAGGGTCATTACGATGGTTGTCCATACAGTGCTTCACCAGCTCCTGCTGGTCCAGGTTTCTGGCCCCACAGAATGGACACACAAACGTTGACCGGTTTGGAATATTGCTACACATGAGAAGACACATACACATAGAGACACACACACACGAACAGCAGACATTAATTATCACAAGCTTGTAGTAGCTAAGTCAATCCTATAATAATTCAAACTGATCTTGACATCTTGCTGACCTCTAACAACTCACAAGGTGCACTGTGTGTTCATGGAGGATATGTCAGATATTTGATGATTTGCAGATAGTAGGTGCCTCTACTAGGAGAGTCAGTTTACATGGAATGGACTATAAACAGTCTGTTCTAGACATCAGCAGCTTAGGTTATAGAGTCAAAGAGCCAGGTCCTGTGTCCTCCCACAGAGGCTTTCTTAAAGTTCCAGTATGTAGGATTTAGGGGGATATACTGACAAAAATATAATATAATAATAACTGAATATAATATAATGAGTATAATAAGTTTTCTTTAGAGTACGATCATCTGAAAATAAGAAACATTCTGTTTTAATTACCTTAGAATGAGCTGTGTATAATTACATAGGGAGTGGGTCCTCTTTTATGGAGATCACTATGTTGCATCACCATGTTTCTACAATAGCCCAGAACAGACAAACAAAGCACTGGCTCTAGATAGGGCTGTTCACATGTTCACATTGACCACCATAGTTTGAAGCCCCTCGGCAACTATCCACCTCTGAGGATAATTCGGCTCATAGTAAAAACCTCTTAACCATCTGAACTCGAAATAAGTTGAGCACACATTAGCAGGTGGTGGGCAAGCAACCCCCCTGTGGTATGCCAAACAGCACAGAAGAAACCCCGATTTGTAATGTGAAACTGCTTTATTATATTTACCAGTTTCAATAACCTTGGCTGTTTGATTTGGAGACAAAGAGACCTCTGTGGATAATTCAGCTCTCAGTAAAAACCTCCTGAACAATGAACACTGAAGGAATTCTGACCAGTAAAAAAGTTTCATCCGGTTGCAATCCTCACAGCTAGACACTAGAGGTGTAACGATCCATCAATCTGGATTAATTTATCAATTCAGTGATCAAAGATTTAACATCATTGATACCAAATGAAAACATCAATCTGTATCGTCATCTTTAGCATACGCTTTTATTTTGAAAGTCTGTGTCACCATCAAACAGCGGTGGGTAGATGGCAAGCAGCCAAGAGAAAGACAATGAGGATAACGCTATTTACTCAGGAATTTATTAGCAGTGTTAAAACATTTTGGATTTTGGAGAAAATATAGGTCAACAAACAGAGCACATGCCGTACATAAACAATTCCATTACGAGATAAAACAAATTGTAAAATTATCTGTCTGGATGAGCATCTCACTCTGCTAACTTCTCACTGCAGCAACATTAGCTGCTCTGTTTCAACAATGTTTGGCTGAAGAAAATGTGCATGCAGGCTGAAATTCAACCAAGCTGTTGAGTAATAAAAATAATAACCTTCTGTCTCTCTGACAGAAAGTGTTTGGGCACTTTTCAGGAGGAGGGCTTAAAGAAACCGAGCTAATGTGAAAATACATTGTTTCTGTATGCAAGCTGTATTTTCAGACTGAGTCAGCTCAGCATGGATGTGGTCTGAGTGTGTGTACCTTGGTATGGGTTGAGAGGTGGGCACCACAGGTACAAACTTAGGACAGTTGGCTATCTGTTCTTGTACTTTAGAACAGGAAGCAATGTGGGACCTCATCTTTACCAGAGCCACCTGACAACACACACACACACACACACACACACACACACACACACACACACACACGCACGTTAGAACTGTAGAACAATAATAGAATTGCTCATTTAGTCACAGCAACTTCATTAGGGTTACTTGTTGCCATTTCATAGAGGATCTAACTGACTCTGGTTGAGCAGCTGTTTTGTCCATACATCCACATCTTCAACACACTTTATACTACCATTAGGATATGAAATATCTGACTAACCTTCAAGATGAACACACACATGAAAACGATTAATCACCATTCATCCTCCAACCTTCCACTGTCTTCACTTTGTAAGGGGCCGTGCACCTGCCGCATCTTTAACCACCTGGAAACGTGGGGTCGGGCACTGTGTGCCACTCAAGAGCACAGAGACAGGTTGCGTCTGAAGTTGCTAAGCAACCATAACAAGCACCAGCCTACTTCCATGAAATCCTGAGTGCAGAGCTAATCTTCTTCCAGGTGCTGTTTTTTAAGTGTGTAGGCTTAAAATTTTGTCCATGGGACAGATGTAGAGCTCTGGCAGCCCTGCACTAAAATTATTAACTTCTTTATATTTATAGACTGATATTTCCAGATGAGGGGAAAGATATCTACCAGGTATGATTGGTGTTACCCATCAGATGACATGTGATGCACGCTGCTGCGTTCCAGAAGTTGAACTTAGTTTATATCACGGTACAGCCGTTGCGCACTCGGACACATGCGTGCAGTGCGACTGCATCACTCTGGTGTTTGAGTGTGCCTGCCGTGCATCTACATCAAAAACAATGGATTAGAGGGTGCAAAAAAAAGCAGCATGTGTACGGCCCCTAAAAAAATTTAAATCAACTGTAATGGTTTAGCACCTTAGGGTACACAGTGCTATCAATTAAATAAATAGCAAATGCTATTGTTTTACCGTATATCCTGCAAAAATAAAATGAGAATTATATCTTCAATCTCTATATTGTAAATGAGTGAATATCAGCTGTACTTGGAGAGTCACAATATGATGATTTGCTGATGTACCTAATAATAAACATACACGCATAATGTAAAGTTGCAGCTATAATCATCTGCCATGAATATGAATGGCCTACCTTCTTGTTACAGCCCCTGCAAGGTGCTTTGAATGAGGCCAGCTGCTTCTCCACACTGGATGAGCGCTCCACTTTCTTGGGGTCAAAGGGCACCCGACAGAGAGGGCAGAGGGGCGAGGTCACCTGAAGACATGGCTGCAGACACTCCCCACAGAACCTGGAACAGCAGACAGCAGTGGGGAAAGGTTAAGTTCTTCTTAAAGGGAACCACAGTGATTGCAATGATTTGTCCTGCTGGTCCAAGGAGCACCTCTTTAAGGTCACCTCTGTCCCACAATGACAGGGATAAAGTGCTCAACAAGAAGATGAGCAAGCGGGTTTATTATTGTAAATGTGTATTTGACAATTTTCTGTTACAGTAAGGTCCTCCTGTTGGTAATGAAAAATTTTCATCTCAAAGTTACTGGGGTCTACACTGATGTCTGACCAAGACTTTGTATTCTTTTAAGTTTTCTTTTTTAATAAGTTCAGAAATTTCTTGGATTGATGGTGGCACATTGGTGATGTGGTTAGCATTGTCGCCTCACAGCAACAGGGTTCCTAGTTCGAAGCCCGGGGTGGAGTTTGCATGTTCTCCCCGTGTCAGCATGGGTTTTCTCTGGGTGCTCCAGCTTCCTCCCACAGTCCAAAGACATGCAGATTAATTGGTGACTCTAAATTGCCTGTAGGTGTGACTGTGAGTGTGAGTGTCAGCCCTGTAATAGTCTGGCGACCTGTCCAGGGTATACCCCTGCCTCTCGTCATATTATACATGCATGCTCATGAGGGCCCACCAACAGATGGAGACATGAAATAGAATGCTTTTTAATGTATGTTATACATAGAAAAGCATTCTACATAGAAAGAGCCGTTTATGTCTACATAGGGCGGACAAACCAAACACTGGCTCTATATAGGACCATTTGCATTTTCACGTCAGCCACTATAGTTAGAAGTCCCTCCAGCATTGAAAAAACACAGATTTTTAATGTAACTAAATGAGGTCAGAACTATAAGACGTGGAGAGGCAGCCTTTGTTTATAATACTTGTTAACTCTGGTAGGGTCTGCCTGAAGGTCTTAGGGGCTCTAAGTCTGTTGAGAGATGTTAAGAAACATCTTTTAACCATTACTTTCTTCTGAAATGTGTTTTTAACCGATAGTTGTTTTATCTTGTCTTAGCCTGCAGTTTGTACCTGAATTTTGTTTTAGTCTATTTATGTGCGATATCTATACTCCCATCGGTCTGAGAAATCAGCCATTCAGTCTGTCTCTTTATTATATTTTGCTTCTTTTTGTTGCTTTCTTCCTATATTGCTTTGTGTTTTTATTATGTTTGCTTATTATATTGCTCTTGTTTTGTGCAATTAACTTATTACAATCTGTGCGTTTGGGGCGGCACGGTGTTGTGGTGGTTAGCACTCTCGCCTCACAGCAAGAGGGTTGCCGGTTCAATCCCGGGCGTGTGCGGAGTTTGCATGTTCTCCCTGTGTCAGCGTGGGTTCTCTCCGAGCACTCCGGCTTCCTCCCACAGTCCAAAGACATGCAGACTGGGGATTAGGTTAATTGATAACTCTAAATTGTCCGTAGGTGTGAATGTGAGCATGAATGGTTGTCTGTCTCTATGTGTCAGCCCTGCGATAGTCTGGCGGCCTGTCCAGGGTGTACCCTGCCTCTCGCCCGATGTCAGCTGGGATAGGCTCCAGCCCCCCCGCGACCCTCAAGAGGATGAATGAATGAATCTGTGCGTTTCTGTTTACCAATACGTACTTATATCTTACTTTGTGTTTTTTTTTCTACTGTGAGACGAATAAAGGATTATCTTATCTTGTTTATATCATCTTTTTCCTTTTCTATCACAAATCACAAACAGTTGTCTTCAAAGTTTAGCACTTGGTTTTGAATTTTGAACTGTGTTATATAAATTATCAATATTATTAACATGATCATTCAGTGCTTTTACTGATTTTAATCACCCCATCCATTTGTTTTCAGAAAGGAAGAGGCCTCTGCAGATAATTCAGCTCTTGGTGAAAACCTCTTGAGTCATCAGAGAAAAAGGTGAGCACACATCAACAGGTGCTGGCCTAACAGCCTGTATGCAACATGACAAACAGCACAGAAGAAACACTGATTTGTTTTTCAAGTTCAAATCTCCTGGTCTGTTTGTTTTGGAGAGGAAGAGACCTCTGTAGATATTTCAGCTCCTGATGAAAACTTCCTATACAAGCCTAGAATGGACAAGCCTATCCGCGATGAGCTGTGTTGGAAAAACACTGAACTGTAACATGAAACTGCTTTATTCAGTGTTTTTACTGGTTTAAATACCTGGGTCTGTTTGATTGGAGAGGAAGAGGCCTCTGTGGATTATTCAGCTCATGTTAAAAGCATCCTGAACAATGAGCACTACAGAAATTCCTATAAAGTGAAATTTCAGTTGGTTGCAATCTTCAATCCTCACCACTACATGCCACTAAATCTCCATAAATCTGACACACTGAACCTTTAACACACAGTTGAGCTGAGTCTGTATGGGCCAGTGAAAGGAACGCATCAGCATTTTCTTAAGGTTTATCCATTTCCATCAGCAGCAGAGGAGTAAAAATAGCTGCATTTTACCTTTAACTAGAAATAGAACTGAGGCTATCTGAGGTCTGCTCTGCTCTTTGTTGTTCCTTTCAGCTCTAACTGAGAAAGATCAGAAATACTCCTCTCTTATTTTATTAGATACAAAGTAATAAGCCTGTGATAATCAGGGTTGATAATGTCATGATGCCATCAGTTACACACTTCACAAGTCACCACTTACATGACTGCAAACGGTCACTGGTGTTTGATTAAAAGCAAACAAATACCCTTCACCTATTGCTCTCACACTCAGTTTTTGACACAGTGTTTTGAGAACTGTTTACTTTGAATTGTAATAAAACAATGAAATATTTCACTGTAAAATACAGGTTTAGCTATATTTTCTGTTGATTAATTATATGATAATAAATGCCAGTGCACACTGTACTAAAAAACATCTCACAACCTGCAGTCTAACATAACAACTGGAAACAAGACTCCTGTATTGGCTAATTTATTTTTTAATAAAACTATATTTACCAAGAAAAAAATAAAACTCACTTTGTGTTTTGTATCTTACAATTAAAAATATTGTGTTTTCTGAACAATCAAAGCACAATTAAGGACTGACATTCCTTTTCCAGTCCTTTCAATTAAAGGTCCAGTGTGAAGGATTTAGGGAAATTATACTTGCAGAGATGGAATACAATATAATAATTATGTTTGCTTTATTGTATAATCATCTGAAAATAATAATCATTGTGTTTTTGTTACCTCAGAAGGAGCCGTTTGTATCTACATAGATCCTTGTTTTTGGAGATTGCCATGTTCACCACAATATTTCTACACTGGCCAAGAACAGACAAAGAAAACACTGGCTCCAGATAGGGACATTTTCGAGTTGGCCACTGTAGTTACAAGCCTATCTGCAAACAAGCAGCATAGGATAAACACTGATTTGTAAGGTGAAACTGCTTTATTCAGTGTCTTTACTGGTTTAAATCGCCAGGCCGTTTATTTCAGAGAGGAAGAGACCTCTGTGGATAATTCAGCTCCTGGTGAAAACCTCCTAAACCTCTGGATCTTAAGTTAGCAGATAAAAAAGGTGAGCACACATTAGCATGTGGTGGATCAGCCACACGTCTCCGACATGGCAACAGCTTCAGAAAAAACCCCCTGAGATGCTGCTTTATTCAGTGTTTTTACCAGTTTAAATCACCTGAGGGGTATTCCAGAAAGCAGGTTTAGTGAAAACTCTGAGTATGTTAACCCTGAAATGAGGGAAACTCTGGATTTTCAGTTCCAGAAAGAGAGGTAAATCAATCTCTGAGTCAATCACCATGGCAACTGAGTCTGTGAACCTAACCTGCTTGCTGGCAGGTTTTCTTCAATAAACCCTGAGTTTTTCTCTGTCTCCTCCCTCTTACACTCTGTTTCATTTCCTCATTCATTCAGTCCGTGTCAAAGCTTGTATCGAAGCGCATTAATTAGCGGAGATTTACCGTCTGTCACAGTCTAAATCCTGCTGGATATTAGTTTGTCACTCAGGACTGTCTTAAATTACTGAATTTATGCATATCAATCATTTCTTTAGACATCGGTTTTTGTCTTTACATTCAAATATTACACAGCAAGAATTCACCCTCAGCTCAGAATCAAACCTCTGTCCTTTTTATATTCATTATTTTTTATAACACTGTGCACAAGGATCAGACTGTCAGTCTGTTAGAGCAGCTCCAAAATGTTTATTGCACATAATGTGTAGGTCTAATTATTTAAATTTTAAAAATCAGTATGAAGCTTTAGACACGTGGTATCAATGACTAATGATCTCTATCACTGATGTCATTGGTCGCACTGATGGAACATAATTCCTATAGCCTAATATTGGGGATTATATGTTAATATTTCTGAGTGAGCAATGGTGCAGCATTTCAGTGTCTTTAAATTTACTACATTTGTAGCTGAAATAAAGTCACTGAATGCTGTTGAGTCAAAATACAAACAGATGCGCAACATTTTAAAATCTACTGTATTTTAACCTCAATGTCTTTTCAAGTGCAAATCACCAAACGTATTATTACTGGGTCAGACTGTGATTTTACAGTCATGTCTTTATGTCTTTGATCTATAGCCTAGCCTATATGTTTTAAATCTTCCTATTTTTCAGTTGCTGCCTCCTGTGTTTTTTCCCATCAGATTAAATCTGAACAAATATATTATTATATATCATTAATATAATATAATGTAGATCTACAGCCTGATACACAGTCAGATTCCACCACTTTATCTTCATTAAGGAAATGTAAGTCTGATAAATGACGAATAAATGGACAACAATGAATAAAACTTTTTTATTAACTTTATGGTTAACTTATTTACACTTTCCTTGCTCTGACTCAGGCTCTTCTTTTAAGATAAATGTGCACCGTCTGCTACACATGCATTAATATCTCTGCATCCACTGGATTAAAACGCTGTCTTTTATTTACCTGTTGCCATGGTGAATCGTGGAGTCGGAGCTCCATTGATGATGGCTTTTTATTGTCAGCTTAACTCAGAGAGAACATACTCAGAGTTGACTGAACTAACTCGAACCAACTGTTCTGGAACCGGTAACTCAGAGCTTCCCATCTCAGGGTAAATCAACTCAGAGTTCAGGGTTAGACTCAGAGTTTGTTGAACCTCCTACATGGAATACCCCTCTGGTCTGTTTGTTTTGGAGAGGAGGAGACCTCTGCGGATAATTCATCTTGCAGTGAAAACCTCCTAAAAACTTAAAATTTATCTGGAAGAATTTTCAGACCACACTAGACTAGACCTTTAACTGGGCACAAAATTTTACAAACCCAGCTGAACTTTGACCTCTGTAGTGTCCAGGGTTATCTGTGGCACACTGCCACAGTTTTATCACACAAAATCCTAAATGATGAAAATTCAATTTTGAAATTATAATTCCATTCATAACAGCTGCAGTGATCGGTGAACTGACGGAGAAACTGTACTAAAAGACAAAACAACAAATGTCTAAGAAATCCACAAGTAAATATGACCACACACATGTCAGGTGATGTGTAAAGGTAAAAATAACACATGCAGCCTGATCAATGCTGCCTGTCTAAGGCTGATATTGATAACTGCTGGAAGTTAAAAAAAAGAGACAACATGTCATCTAATGTTGTTTTTTACATAACATTAATAAGCATTGGGGTGAAGTAAGGTAATGTGGATCATCAGGTAAAGCAGGACAAATAAAGTTTTACAACTTAGGCTCTTTAAGTATTAGAAGCCAGTCACCAAACATGTTTCTGCATTGTTATTACAAATGTGCTTTACATGAAACAACCATTTTGATTGGTCTGAGATAACTGGGATAGGCAGAGCAAAGAGTAAAAAAAAAATCACTGGTCCTAGAACTTGGAAGATAAGCCATGTGGCATGTTAATCATCTCATTTTGGTAGTAAGAGTCCTGCAACATAGAGGTATAATAACAAAAATGGTTGCAGAATGTTACATTTTATTAAATGTTTTAATTATAATAAAAATATTTTCATAATACACTTAAGTTTTAATAGGCAAGGGTTTTCAGTGAGTATTTAAAGCATTCAGGTAAAATGGGACAAAATATTAAGCTAAAATAGGACATAGATCTAAGCTGCTAAGTAAACTTGTTGTCCTAGCGAGGAAATGTATACTGTTTAATCGGATCTAAGAAAAAAACACATCAGTGGATTGGAAAGGCCCTTCAGAAAGTCACCAAATAAATAATTTTTATGTAAACAAAAAATAATTAGGTATGACGAGTACATGTGCATGTGTCTTTTTACGGTTAATGGGTGTATATATGGCCATAAGGGCATCATCACAACCCCCCATCCCCCTTTATTATATTTTATTTGACTTCCATGTATTTACAATTTCTCCCTCGGTGTACTTTTTCTTGCTTGTTTGTTCTGGGGGTTTTATGTTTCGTTTTGGTTTTTGTTGTGTTTCTTTGTTGTTGCATTGTTTTGTTATTAGTTTACAATTTTACCTAAAGTATTCTTCACCTGTGTATTGTCTCACCAAGCTCAGGTCTTTCCAAAAATGTTGATGTTATAATACCTGAACATGTCATCAAAGTGACGCAGGGGCACGTGGTGTGTTTGGTATTTGGCAACATACTTTCTTTATAGAAACATAGCAGAGAACCATAACAAGTTCCAAATAGTGATGGGATTTCTCGTTCACTTGTGAGAGCCGGTTCTTTGGCTCTCCTTCACTCTGAAGAGCTGGTTCAAAGATGCAGTTCGTTCGTTCTTTTTTTGGGAGGGGGGGGGGGGGGTATTGCTGTGTGTGTGTGTGGAGGGTTGGTGTTAGTGGGTTCAACGACGAATCGCATTGCTGATTTATCACATCACATGATCTGGATATTGTAACGTGGACCCAGAATAGACCCTGCACATATAAAGTTTGGTGTAGCCATAGCAACACCCTTTACAAGCCTGCCAATACAAGCAAGTGCTGATAGTGGGTTAGCTTCCTACGTTCCTTCGTTTCTAACCGAGGGGGGTCATCAGCACAACATGAATTCGGAACTGGCTCGTTTACTCTAAAGAGCCGGTTCACTCGTTCACTTCAAAGAGCTGGTTCAAAGACTCGGCTCGTTCGCGAACGTCACATCACTAACACTTCAGGAAGTCTTCAAAATATTAGTTGTTTTTCTTGGTTATCTATAAAAAAAAGTGGCCCATATTACCTGAGTTCACGTGTAATCGTGTAATATATTACACGATGAAGACAATGTAAAGAAACTGGTCACTAGAAGAAGTTCTGGACGGGACATTGAGCAGGGTAAAAACTTGTCAGTGTTCTCTGATGGTCAAACCATGAAATCTGGACTCTGTTTCTAATATGGCATTTCTCATCAACTGTTATCATAACCCGAGGATCATACCTGTAGTGATGGACAGAACATCAGTGAAGGTGTAGGCTATGACAGTGTTATTGTCTGCTTAGGCTGCTGACAGATGTTTTTTATGCTGAAAAACAAACTATAGAAGCCAAATGAACTCGGCTGTTGGAGGAAACACATTATAGGCTATGTGCTTTTCTAAAACCAAGCAGTATGTCACCGTAACTTACTGTGTGTCCACAGACAGCAATAACACGCATCGGAACAAAAAGTAGCTACTTTACGTGTGAGCACAGCTGGCGATGCTGACGGGTTTATGGTAGACCTCCAGGCAGATGGGACAGGAGAACTGGCTCTCGATGCCCTCAGCCGGGGCTGCCAAGGAGCCCGAGCCGCTGTTGGGCTGGTGCTGCTGGCGGAGCTGGGTGCTCGCCGAGACAAAGCTCCGAAACATCGCCATCATGGAGCCGGAGAGGATCTGTCGACAACAGCTCGCCGCCACACGGAGGAAGCTGCCCTAACTGCTGGTAGCTAGTGCATTAGCCGGACAGCAATTTAAATATATGTCGTACTAACATCGTGGCTTTCCAATCTGTTCCTTATAAAAAATATCTTCAATAAACCGAGGCATTACTTTCCCTGCCTGGAGAAGACATGCCGGAGAAGTAAACATTGGGAGCAATGCCCGTTAGCGAGTGTCAGCGCTGTGCAGCGAGGATGACCTGGATAAAAAGCACCAATCTATAGACTCATGCAGTTCATGGGATGCTGTGTCCATGTGGTTGTCAGATTAGCGGTTTTGAAAAAACGTCAGTGAACGCTCGCGAACATCACGAGAGGCTACAACAAAAGCCCTCCGCGCGCTTTGCTTTGTGGAGGCTGGAGTCCTCCTCTTCATCTACTGACTGCTCTCTACATTTCTATAGAACTGCAATCCCAGAGGCCACCTCAGTGAGCGGCCCGGGCCAAAGAATAGCACCATTTATTAATTATTATCAGAGGAGCGGACAGATTTACTCAGCAAAGTATGGGCAACCAAGTGGGACAAATGTGTGTTATTCATATAGACTAAGACACTTTAAGGGGTAAAAACATTTAATTCATAAACCGAACAAATACAGGCTACATTTCAAATGTTGTACACATACAAACATATTTCATTATTACATCTGATCCATGATCCTGTAATGCAAGGCCAAAACCATGGAATTAACGTTGGGGGGACCAAATTTGCCAGGGGGGCCCAGATTATATTTATTAATTTCAGATTTTTTAACATTTGAAAGTAATGAAAAACAGAGAGTTCCGTGTTTGATACTGATTGTACAAACAGCAGCTAAGCAACAGCTTCTGCTTGGGTACAAAATCAGCACACCCAGAAATGCAGTACACTGTACAAGGTTTTCATAGTCATGGAAAACCTGGAAATGTAATGGAATTTCACAGTCACATTTTCCAGTGTGGAATAAGCCATGGAATTAGTAAAAATCATTGAAAGTTTAGGAAAAGCCATGGCATTTTATTGTGTGTAATGAAATTGATATAATTATCTTCCGTGAACAACCCCTCGCATTATACATAACAGCAAATTAAGTTTCTGTTGCTGTCGAAATAACGTTTCTCTGATATGCGTTGATGTGTGACAACATTTTGTTCATTTCTTCATTTTCTCCCTGCATTCCCACTCTCACTTCATGTATGACAGCTGGAGTTATGTTTGAATATTTGAATAGAGTTTGAATCTCATATGTTTGAAAAATGCCCAGCAATTGAGGCAAGAATTTTTTAAATCTTTTTATTATGGGAGGAAGGTCATGGAAAAGTTTTCAAATTCTGTCCATGAAAATGTGTGACAACTCTGACTGTAATACTAGAAGCGGTAGTAATAATAATGAGTTGCACTCCCGGTGGCGCTGCTCTGCTGTGACCCGGGCTACCTCGTGCTGCTGTCTTATGTCTCTGTACCCTTTTAAATCAAATATCTTGGTGTCACCATTGATAACACACTAACCTGGAACACTCTGCAGCAAACTGCAACAACGCTTGCATTTCTTGCATCGCTTACGAGCTCATGGAGTGGACAAAAAGATCATGCTGATCTTCTATCAGGCAATTCTGGAGAGCCTAATCAGATATGGCATTACAGCTTGGTTTGGCAACCTCTCTGCCCAGCTGAGAAATAAGTTGTTGCGATTAATCCACACTGCGTGGAAAATTATTGGCATCAGAGAGCACTCATCCATGCAGAGCATTTACAACAGGCCACATTGTGCAAGGCAAACAAATTAATTGATGATGTGTCTCATGTCCTGCACTCAGAGTATGAGTTGTTACCTTCAGGATGAAGGTTCAGTTCCCCAGTGCAAATTTAATAGATTCAAAAACTCCTTTGTCCCTGCTTCTATTAAATTTGTTAACAGTGGCAGATAAAGCCAAGTAGCAAGCGCTACTGCACTTTATGGCTGCTGTTTTAAATTGCTGTATGCTGTTTATTTTATAACATTTCTTTACTGTTTTTTAAGCTCCTGTTTATTACTATGTTGTACTATTTATTGCCTGCTGCACTTCATCTATTGACTATGTTGTACTATTTATTTATTTTTCACCTGTTTTTATGTTGTGTTACCAGTGTGTTTTATGGCTGCAGATCTTGGGTCTTGTGGGGGGTACTACAAGAATATGGGGCACCAGGGACGCTGCTACGAGCCATTTTGCTCCTGTATGACCAAAGTGAGAGCTGTGTCCGCATACTCTGCGTAAATTCAGACTGGTTCTTGGTGGGTCTGCCAGGGTTATCCCTTGTCACTGATCCTGTTTGTGATTTTCATGGACAGGATCTTGAGGCGCGGCTGGGGGGAGGAAAAGGTCCGGTTTCGGAACATCGGAATTGCATCTCTGCTTTTTGCAGATGATGTGGTTCTACTGGCTTCATCCCACCGTGACCTCCAGCATGCACTGGGATGGTTTGCAGCCAAGTGTGAAGCGATCAGGATGAGAGTCAGCACCTCTAAATCTGAGGCCATGGTTCTCTGCCAGAAACCGATGGATTACCCCCTCCGGATTTGGGGAGTTCCAGTACCTCGGGGTCTTGTTCGTGAGTGAGGGTAGAATGGAGCATGAGATGGATCGGTGGTTTGGTGCGGCACCTGCCGTGATGTAGGCGCTGTGTCGGTCCGTTGTGGTGAAGAGGGACCTGAGCCGGAAGGCAAAGCTTTTGATTTACTGGTCCATCCAACCCTCACCTATGGCCATGAGCTCTGGGTAGTGACTGATAGAATGAGATCGCAGATACAAGCGGCCGAAATGAGTTTCCTCCATGGGGTGGCTGGGCTCAGCCTTAGAGATAGGGTTAGGAGCTCAGACATCCAGAGGGAGCTTGGAATAGAGCTGTTGCTCCTTTGCGTTTAAAGGGGTCAATTTAGGTGGTTCAGGCATCTGATCAGGATGCCTCCTGGGCACCTGCCACTGGAGATGTTTTATGCACATCCCACTGGTAGGAGGCCCCAGGGCAGATCCAGAGCATGTTTGAGGGATTACATGGCCCATCTGGCCTGGGAACGCCTTGGGGTCCCCCAGGAGGAGCTGGAAAGTATTGCTGGGGAGAGGGATGTCTGGGGTGCTTTGCCCGGCCTGCTGCCCCCATGACCCGGCATGTCTTTATTTCTGATGATATGATAAACAGGATGTGAGCAGCATCTTTTTGCAACTACATTTTATTTTTTTTTGCTTTATCATTGCTTATCTACTGTAATTGAATCCCTGCTGACCCGCCTCCCTTTTATCCTGACCGCTGTGAAGGCATGCTCACTTCATCTTTTACCTTTGTGTAGTGCAGGGGTAGGCAGACTGTGGCTCTGGAGCTGCATGTGGCTCTTTTGCCCCTCTCCGGAGGCTCACTGTGGCTTTGACAAAAAATTATCTGGAAATGAACACCAATTTTTTGACATTTAAATTTCTTTTTCTGTTTTTCCAGTCGTAAAAACATTTTCCAGTCGTGAAAATGGGGAGAATAAGAACAATACTTTAACATTCTAAAATGTGTAGCAGATGTCTGTGGCCTGCATGACGCCATTCTTTCTAAATTTTGCTGAACCTCAAAGCTGTGGCTAGAGTCTCCCTAGCTTAGTAAATGTGTAAATAGACTGCATTTATATAGTGCTTTTGCAGTCTTGGTGACTATTTAAAGCGCCGCACAACACAAGCCAGCCTTCATTCATTCAAACACACATTCATACACTAATGGCCAAGGCTGCTATAGTAGCTCATCATTCACATGCCACCAGCTCATCATTCACATACACCCATTGGGAACAATTTGTGTTTCAGTATCTTGCCCAAGGACACTAAAAGATCTAGACCGCAGAAGCAGAGGGATCGAACCACTGGATGAACGCTCTTTCTCCCGAGCCACTGCCGCCCTAGTTAGCTAAACTAGCGATGGATTCTAAAAAAGATAAAGTCTTGGACGACAATAAAGAATTTAATAGTGTGTTGACAGACATTTGTTGGCTTTCATGCTGCAAAGTTTAAGTACCAAATAATAATAATAAATAACCCAGTGCAGAGGAGCCACCTTGTAATAAAACACATCAATGAATGCTTATTTAGACCTATTAGAAATGTTGATAGGCTAATTTAGACTTACTGGGCTGTGTTACCTTCACTAAGGCTCAAAAATGTGTTGCAGCTCCAGACAGAATTTTGGTGTAGTGCATGTGAAAAAGAGTGGGCTTAGCTCAGTGCTCACACAGAGATGGTGTCATCATAGTTAATCTCCCAAATCTCAGCCGGAAGAAGACTTACCATCAGTGTTGGTGACTCTACTTTGAAAGAACAGCTTTGCAAGCTACCAAAACTTCACACAGGAGGAAGTTAAACTACAGAGATAACAGACCACGTGCGTAATGAGTTTCATGGTTCTGTCTCATTTCTAATTGGTCCAATTTGAGATGTTACAATTACCTCTTGTTAGGCTACAATTGCCCCCTGTCTCCCCTAACTCAGACACATTGTGATGATACATACAGGATGGACATTGTATACAAAACCAAAGTTGACATTCCTTGTACTCTCCTGTTGATAGTGGGGTTTCTATTTATTGTTATCAACTTTTTATTGTTGTTTTAACATATATAACAAACAACAGTCACAATAATAAACAACAGTGTCCCCCACACCTGGTGGCAACTGGTTCGGATTAATTGGCCACAGTATATCAAGTGTGAGAGAAAAGTAAATTAATAAGGAAAATAACAATAATAATAATAACCATCATAATAATTATAACAATAATAGTACATAATTTACATTAAAATGAAAAGATAAAGAGGAAAGGAATATATGAAAGGAATATAGATATATATTTAATTAAAGATAAAGACAGAAGTAAATAGGTTATGTGGACTATGACCCAGTGGATGTGCACAAAAGATCTTTCACTTTGTCAATAAGGGAGGCCCAGGCATCAATAGTTGACTGTTTGGCACTATGCATTTTTGCTTGGTGGTTTGCACATAGAGTTTAAGAGTGAATAAATCGTAGATACTTAACCTCTAGTTCGACCTCCCACATCTAGCAAAGAATGGAGTGGATGAGCTGTAAAAGCTACACGCCACAGGACCCCATAGTTTTGCATTGCTAATCTGAGTCGAAGGTAAAAGAAATATGAACGTCTAGGGACATTGTACATAGTACACAAGTCATTAAAAGATCTTACGTCGTCATCCCATACATCTGACAAGGTATCAATACCACTTGTAGACAATTGTGAGAACTGAAAAGGGGCTTCTCCTCTATTAAGACTGAAATTATTAAATATGGGACT